ATAGGATTTATACAACTCAAAAAGCACTTGTATAATGACGCTACTCAAATGAAATGAAATAAATGAAGTGAAGTTTGGACTACACTTGATATGTGACACGCCCAGCTGCATTATTTATGCAACACGTACATACCAACATACATGCATGGAGATTTTGTTTATTTACAATCCACTGTCTATTTGTTGGTTGCTGTCCTTATTTTTTTCTTGTTTCTATTGTCGCTCAGCATGCTGGTGATATAACAAATATTGCATTAGTACGTTGTTAATACCCACATGCACATGCACATGCATACATACAAATAACTACAATCAATTTACTACTCGCATACAGAAGCGAGGTTGTGTGTGCTTGTTATTTTGTTGTTGACTGTCAGAAAACCGAGAGTAAAAGTAAATAGCATTAACTAACTGATCGAACGCTCGAGACGTAATCGATTACGCGAAAGGGTAAATAAATTATTGAGTAACTAACGGCAGGTTTTGAAATGGGAGATACTTACAAAAAGTTGTATATATATAACGTATATATGTATACGTATGTTTGTATAATTTTTTAGTTGAAACAGGTTGCCATGATAAAAAATAGGTTTAAAATAAATAATTTTTACACTCTTCTATAGTAGAAAAAATTAAATTTAATTCAAAAAGAACGCAAAAAAATATTATAAAAATTCCTTTCCAAGCAATTATGCAAATCTACTCGTACAACTATTTGGGTCAATTAAAGTGGTTGTTTGCTTAGCTTAATAAGAAAATCATGTTTTGATGTAAAGTAATTTTTATGAAAGACTAAAAATAAAATGAAATAAAATAAAATAAAAAAATATAATTAAATACATTAAAATGAAATAAAATTTTATTAAATGATATAAATAAAAAAAGGTAAAACAAAATAAAATACAATATAATAAAATAAAATCAAATAAAATAAAATAAAATTAAATAAAATAAAATAAAATAAAATAAAATAAAATAAAATTAAATAAAATAAAATAAAATAAAATAAAATAAAATAAATTAATAGAGAAACAAAACAAAATAAAGTGAAATATAAAATGGCTAAAAATATTAATTTCATACATATGTTTGGAATTTTCGTACAACAGCAGCAATATCAACGCTGTCAGAAAGTAGTGCGCAAATAACGAAGTAAACAAAATTATAACAACAATTTCATCTGCAACAATTATACAAGTTGTCATTGTGACAGACAACGGCAACAGCAGCATATCCTCAAGCAATGTTGCACACTTGTAATTTGCTTTAGCTGCTGTTGCAAATTGTAAGTGTACCTATATACATATATACCAAAGGAATATGTATGTATGTATATAATGTCATAGTTATAATTACAGATATATATGTATAAATATGCATCTTCCTTTACCTATTGTATTATACCTCAAACTAGTAGACATGTTTTTGTTGTTGTTTGTGTTTATTGGCAAAATGTTTTGTTTTACTATAAGACAGTTATTTTATCTCCGTTTCGGAGTGTTTGTCACGCGAACGTACTCACTGTTAGAAACTCATATAAATATTCTATTGTATTGAGTATATGCACCATATAATATATATGTACCAAAGTACTTAAGTATAAGGATTTGACCAACTCTGCTAGCACAGCATATCCACTTCGAGTTGCGTGTGGCCGCATCTATGTGGTGCTTGCAGTGTTCCAATATACACAACCATATGTATATGAGTATGTGGTAAAATATATTTTTCGCATTTCATGCAACATTAGTGTAGGCGACTTGAGATACCATTGCTGGTCTATATACATACAATAAAGTTTATATATAAATCTATGTATATGTCCATACATAATATAAGAAATATACCAACGTCTGGTGTCTAACAATATTTATGCTGTTAGTTTAAACGCATTAAGATCGTCTAACAAGCAAACAACAGTCCGCCCAACCGACCGACCGACCGACTGACTTGCCCGATCAACAAAACAAACTTCTGCCACTATGTAATAAAAGCTACAGCAAGGAACCAGATGTTTTGAGGCCTTGCAGCATATCAGCGAGCAATGAGTAACGTACAGCATACGTGTAATTGAGTACAGAGCGTTTGTTGCACTGCAGCAACATTTGTCGGACAAACATGTATACAAATTGAATTGCTTGTATGTATGTGTAAATGCTGGCACTTGGCGTTGGTAAAGAAAATTCTGTTATACACATTTGCAAGTACATACATATGTAGCAATAAACCGCTTAAAAGTATGCTACATAACATAACGACCGCTTGTACATTATTGTTTTTGTTTTTGTTTTTGTTCTTTTATGACTTCTACTCGTGTACGTTATGTACCTGTATGAATGAATGTCTGTTTTAAAAACACAATTGTTTATGTGTGTTGTTATTGTGTTATGCAGCATGCTGTTCTCATTTAATTTACAGCATACATGTATATATATGTATGTGTGTAAGTATTTATGATATTTGCCTTATTTCTACTGCTCTTCCGTAGGCACATACATCCATACATACACATTACATGGTAGTGAGTAAAGTACTCCAAGCGCCACTTAGCCATAAGCACATGAAGGCGGACATTGCTGACGTTGACCTGGCTACGGGCTAAAACAAAATAAAACAATACGAAAAATTAAATTAAATTTAAGGAATTAAAACTAAATTACCATAATTTATATTACATTAAAAAATTAATTAATATAACATAAATTAACTTAACTTAAATTAAATAAAATCAATTAAAAAAAAACAATATTAAATAAAATAACTTAAAATCAAAATTTTTTTAATAAAACTAAACGCAATGAAATAAAATAAGATATAAGGAAATAAAATCCAATAAAATAAACAAGAATGAAAAAAAAAAATAAAATAAAAAATTTAAAATACAACAAAATAAACTTAAATAAAATAAAATAAATAAAATAAAATAAAATAAAATAAAATAAAATAAAATAAAATAAAATAAAATAAAATAAAATAAAATAAAATAAAATAAAATAAAATAAAATAAAATGAAATAAAATAAAATAATATAAAATAAAATACAATAAAATAAATAAAATAAAATAAAATTAAATTAAATTAAATATAATAAAATAAAATAAAATAAAATAAAATAACATCAAATATAATATAATAAAACAGACTAAAATACAATTAAATGAAATTAAATTTCATTAAATAAACTAAAATAACATAAAATAGTGTAAAATCAAACAAAATAAAATTAACTAATTACAATAAAATAACTTTAAATAAAATAATCTTAAAAAAAAATAAAAGAAAAAAAGAATGAAATGAAATCAAATATAATAAAATAAAATATAATAATATAAAGTAAAATAAAAAACTCGAAATGAAAACAACAACATCATTGCATGTTGGCCGCCATCACTGACTTCATAATTGTCATGGCATGCATCAACTATCATTTTTGTGATGGAGGCTGTGATAGTGTTGATTATGATGGCGACATTGACCGCTGCGTAACTAAAAATTTTAATAATCACACCTGTTTTGATAGACACACATTTGTTTTTGTTGCTTATGTCTATTTCCTGTAATTAAATGATGCCAAACAGTTGTTGTAGTTGCAATTTTCACGCAGTTCTCCGAGCATAAAATACCAATTTTTTTCTCAGACTTGAGTCCGTTTGATAATGTTGTTGCTACACACTTACTTTGTCTCTTAGTATGTCCTTATTGAAAAATTTTCATAGGTTTAGTAGGTAAATAAAATATTTCATAAATAAATATATTTTTTAATTGATTGTTGCTTTTTTTGTTTTTATTTAGAATAAGAATTTATTTTATTTTATTTTTAATTTTTTAAAACAATTCCATAAAATAATTTTGTATATATTTAGAGGAAATGAGTTTATGCATCCCATCTATAAATGTACACACCTATATGTATGTATGTAAGTGAAATACAGTTACAAAAGCGTATAATAATTTTCCTAACCGCAAACTAATTGACACCAACCACAGTAAGATTATCAGGCGTCAACACAAGCCAAGATATGCCAAACCAAACAAATTGATACACAAATTATGAAGCATACCACATGCTACAGCAACAAACTGATTCAAAAAGATCCGTAATTCGATCTTCAACCAGCAACAACGCTTAAGTAGTGACTGAGTAGTCGCTGAGAAATTAGTGCTGAAAGCCAATAACGCTTAGCCATTTGCATTGAATATTTTCTGTTATTACTTTCTGGCGCCAATACTTTATTCAGTTTGCGGTTTCAGTGGCAAGCAAAGTGAAAGTTTTATGAAATCGTAAATTTTTTTCTCATGTAAAAGGACTCCGGCTTAACATGTGTATCTGTTGTTGTGGTTTCTAGCGAAATTTATACGTGAGAAAAATTATATATATGAAAATTAATTATAAATTAAAATATAATTAAATTCTTTCAATTTGTTGTTAATTCAAAGTGATATAGTTTTCAGCCGAATATGCGGAAGGAATAAATTAAAAAAGAAAATACTTATATAAAAATTCTTAACCTTACAAGTGCAATAGCAATTACTAAAGCATTTAGTTATTTGAGTTTTAATTAACAAACAGCAAAAAAATTAATAAAAAAATATTTCATGGCAATTTTTCTTAAGGCAACCGCATATCAATAAAAATATACCGTCTAATCCATATGCATATGAAAATCTAGAGCTATAAAAAACTGATTTTTGTTAACATGTAAATTTATTACATCTATACATATGTGCCATGTATGTATGTGTATATGTCTCAACCATGGGGCGTGTCACTTGCCTTGCATGTACTATGCTGTTGAACTTGTTGAAAATTTGCAGCAACAACCAAGCGATTCACACGCACTTTAAATATATGAATATGTCAGTAGTATATATATATGTAATTATATATATATATATATATATATATATATATGTTAGCATATATTGGTATATAAATATTTACTACTAAAACAACAAGTAATTATTTTTGTTAATGAAAGCAAAGTTGTTCAATGTTAACAATGGATAATGTAAGAAAAAAAATTAAAAAACACAACAACAATAACAACAAAAAGAGACATGCAATTTTCTAATTAGAGCAACATGCAACAACTATTGCTACTGCTACTCTTGTTGTTGGGCAATCATCGAAAGGTGCTATCGCCGCCGCTGCCGCTGCTGCTGTTAAATGAAAGAGTCCAGCCAAAAGCTCATTCACACATACTTTACTATGTGTTTTCCTAAAGACTTTCAGCACAGCCTAAAGCATGTACGCTTACAATAAACATATATACATGAAAAGTGAATGTCCAGCGGCGATTTAATGGCTAGGTGAATGGCAAAACTAATCTTATTATGCTATTTATGCATGCGTGTGTGCGGCAAGTTGGGCTTTCTAAGTGAAAATAATGGGTTGCCCCAAAAGAGAAACCGTAGAGTATTCATACAGACGACTTGTGACTTTTTATTTGTATTTTCACTTTAAGCTTGAGGTAGAAAAAAGTACGCGTAATTTTGTTTAAATTTGTTTGTTCGGCGACAATTTTAATATGGAGCTCACAAAAGAACATTTTCGCCATATTTTTCTGCATTATTTCCGTAAAGAAAAAAATGCTGCACAGGTTACCAAGTTCCATAATTTGTATGGTTTTAAGGCCTTAAAAGAAACACAGTATGGAAGTCGGTTTGTCAAATTCCGTTTGGACGATTTTTCACTCAAAAATAAGCCACGTTCAGGTCGGCCAAGTAAATTTTGATGATGACGATATCAGGACTTTTGACATTTGGCCGCTTCAACGCTTGTTTTTCACATCAAAAGCAAAGAATATAATCTGTTCTTGAAGCAAATCATGACTGGAGATGAAAAATGGATTGTCCACAATAACGTCAATCGAAAACAATCATGGTTCAGGCATGATGAAGCGCCACAAGTCACTTCAAGGCTGATATTCAACAAAAGAAAATTCTGCTTGTCAGTTTGGTGGTATTGGAAGATTGTGGTATGTATTGAGCTGATTCCAAGGAACTAAACGATTAATTCGAATAACTACTGTAAACAACTGGACAAATTGAATAAATCCATTAATGAGGAGCGACCAGAATTGGTCCATCGTAAGGGTTTCATATTCCACCAGGACAATGTTAGATCGCACCCAGCTTTGATCCCTCGTCAAAAACTGAGAAGACTTGGCTGGAAACTGTTGATGCTCCACCACACAGCGCTGACCTTGTACCGTCAGACTATCATCTACATCGATCATGCAGCACTCGTTAAAGGGTAAAACTTTCGGAACTGACAATGCTATGAGCGTGGAATAAGGATGTTGCCGTAGAGATGGCGAAAGGACATACAAAAAAATGGAAGCTTAATAATTGAATAAAATTCATTACATAATTTAATAAATGTATTTACTTTTTTTAAACAAATCGCCGGTTTCTTTTGGGGCAGCCCAAAATAGTTCATGAAGATATTTTTAATTTTTTTTTTTTACTTTTACTTTTTTCCTCTACTTTTCCGCTTTCCACTTACTTGTGGTAAACACTTTTATGTGGCATATGTAAATTATTATGAAGTATGTTGCTACTATTATTAGTTGTTGTTTTAATGTAAATTTTGGGGTTTGTTGTTGTTGTTGTAACTGCCTTTTGTTTCACTTTCACTACATACATATGTATTTTTTACTTTCAATTTTTATAATATTCTCGCATTTTGTCTGAGAATTATGCACGCGTACATACATACTGGAGCATACATACGTAAATACATAAATACTTGCATACATAAATAAATAAATATATATATATATATGTGTATATGTTATATAATATATTGAGCATGCAAAATGCATGTTGCCAAAACGCCCTGTAGCATATTTTCTGCGCTATCTTTGCCATGTTGCATGTCGACATGTTGAAAGCATATAAAAATGTGCCAAGACGCGTTCTTATGTAACTGGAAACAGGCAAATGAATGAGCGTGTTTTTTTTTTGTTTTTTGGCTTTTGCCTTGGCAACTTGTTGCGCTGACATACCATTAGCAAGTAATTAAAGTTAATGCAGTTGCTTGCGCCGTTGTTGTACGTTCACGCCCTGCCAGAAAGATGCACATGGGCCGATAACTTGCTGCAGTTTTAAATTAATTAAGATTTTTAGATTTTTATTTTTACAAAATTTTTGTTTGTTTGCTTCAGCGAGAGATGTTAGTACGCTTTATCAGAAATTAAAAAAAATATACATATATAAATTATATATATCTAAGTGAACCTCTATGTCAATACATATATACATTTATAAACCTCAAACGTGTGACTGAAAATTGCACATTTAATGTTTTTTTTTTTTAAATGTATATACATTTGTTATGTTGCAACAAGCATAAGATGCACTTACAAGTTGTCTTACTCCTTCTGTACCCCAATGAAGCAAAAAAAAGAAAAGAAAAATTGCACGCAACAGGTGAACTAAATATATGTACATATTATATATATATGCATACATTTCTGCTTAAAATGTACTCATCCTCATATTCACATGCATATCATGCCATCCACAAAACACCGTATGATTTCGGCAGATGACTTTAATATGCAACAGTTGCAATTACAAGTGGCAAGCTGCCACAAGGTTGCGACATCAACAAGACATAAATGGGCATATGCATGCATACATGTGTATGTGTATACATATGTGTTTACGAGTCTGTGTGGCACCAAAAAGGCATGTAGCATTTTTGTGGCAGCAACAAGTCGGTCAAAAGCACAGAATGAGGCAAAAAGAAAAATCCGCAAGCGAGCGTAAAAGAAGTCTTAAAAAGGAAGGGAAACCATTTGCCAGGCAATATTGTCATGTTTGCTCTTCTTCTTTTTCTTCTACTTCAACATTAAACATCCCTTCGCCGCCATCACCACCAACCTGTCTGACAAGCTGTCCAACTGTCGCGCTGTGCTTGTTGCATGGCCTCCTTTCAGGCTTCTATGGTTACTTGTTTTTATTTTTATTTTTTGCTTCATTTATTTCATGCTCATCGCAACATCGACAGCACTCACACACATGTATTCACAATAAAAAAAAAAAAAAACAGACATCTCGGCATAGCACCTTTATACCCTTTCTTTCATTTATTTTGTGAAAGGAGTGGAAGTGCATGTAAATATATTTAATCTCTCGCCGACGATCGCCATGAAGGACGTGTAATTTACAATATATATGTACAACTGTATGTCTTTATATACGCTGCACAATTCATTAATAATTTTTTCTTTTTTGAATTTTATTTGTATTTTTACTTTACATTCCGTTGCGTAACAACAGCAAGTGGAGCACCTTGAATGAGGTTTAATGTGTCATTATGCAATACTTGTAGACAGTAAGAGTGCAACAAATACACACAGATACTGCCATGAGAGCTGTTTTTTTTTTTTTTTTTTTTTGAAAAGTTGCACTTGAAAACTGGTTGTCCACTTAAATACTTGAATTCCTTCGCTTTTTTTGCGATAAATCCATGGTTGATAGCGAATTTATTTTTTATTCATTAATTTTTTTTGCATAATCGTTGTGTAGATTTTGTGTTCAAGTTGATTAATTAACGGTAATTAGGGTTTAAATCGTAGCTAAGAGGCTTAAAGAGATGTAGACATAAAGAGCTTTTCTCTATTTAGCGCTCAACAATATTAGCTAGAAATAAAACTAATCACACACTATTAACAACTTTTTAATTTAATATTTGAATTAAGGAATAAATTAAAGATTTTAAAAAATGAAGAAAAATTCCATTCATTTTTTTTCTTAATTGCATCAGTCACTAATTAATTTAATAAAATTTATTTTGATCCACTGAAACAATTGTTTAACAATAAAGTTGCAGTAAGAAAAAAAATATTGAAAAGTAATTAAAATATTTGAATTGAAAAAAATTTAATATTTTAAGAAATGAAGGAAAATGCTATAAAATAAAAAATAAATTCCATTTTTTCTTTCATGCGATACAAAATTAATTCAAATAAAATCAATAAACCTTTCTAAGGAACAAAAAATTATATTTTACATAAAAAGGTAATGAGATTTTTTGTAAGTAAATATGTATGTATGTACATACATATATTATATATTGTCAAATTTTATGTCTAGCAAAATATATACTTTTTTGTGTGATGCGAGAAATAGCAAACAACTTTTCTACCATTTTTTCTTTTAAATTTTATTTTTACAAAAAATTTGGTTTATTTAAAATAATAATGAAGCTTCAAAATTTGATTTATTAAAAAGCCAATTATTTAAGCAGAACTTAAAAAATTTTGCATTTATTTATTTGTATCATTTAAAAATCATTACTTAACTATAATTTTTTTTTTTTAAATAACAATAAAATATTTAAATTAGAAAAAACTTAAAATAATTAAGAACTTTTTTATAAAAAAATTTTTAACAATAAAATTACTGTTAAATATATAAAAATTTAGTATATTTGAATTATAAGCCTCTTTTGCGAAAAATTAATTTTAATTCCTTTCCCATTTTGCATGCGCAAAAATTAATGAAATTCAATTAAATTTTTGCGGTAAACCACTTTGGAATTGTAATTAGAAGCATTAGTTGGTATTAAAATTTAATCGGAATTCACTTGGCTGCACAGAAACTTGAAAAAATCTAAACTTTTTATGACTGGGTAAAAAGTGTTAAGCATTTTTTATACTCAATCTTAAATATAATATATATATAAAATAAAAACAAATAGCTTGAATCAAATAAACTTACGTGCCATATTTTAAGGCACATTACAATAAAAATCAAAAAATCCAAAAAACATATAAACTAAAAAACAAAAATAAACTAAATCACATTTATGCATTTTTTTGCCTATTTTAGGCGAAAAACGCTGCAATAAATAATTTTTTTTTGTCTAAATTAGTTTGAATTATCAGCTATCCAATCAGTTGATATGGAAAACAAAACACCAAATTACTGACTCAATTGCAAGTGTATAGCCATCTGCATACATATTAACATTAGAAAATTAAGTGTAAATATTTTT